ATTCACTTATAGGAGGTGATTCAGTAAAGAATTCCTCGAAGTCAAGCGGGTTGAAGGTCGAAGTGGGAAGAGCTGCCAAGCGACTCCGTTTTTCAGAAAGATTAGTTGACAGTTCGGTCCTTTCTTGCTCCTCGGAGAAGTCTGCTTCATGGATTTGATCCAACAGAATCAGGTTGCTCTCATGCTCCTTGATGTCTGACTCCAATTCCGACTTAGCCTTCTCAGTTTGCATGAAGCGAATGGCCCCTTGGATCAACTCCATCCCGCGTCCCTTAACCTCCTTTCTGGCCTTCGATGCCGACCTTGCTAACTCGGAATCACGCAACTTGGCTAGCGCCTTGTACTTCGCGTCAAGCTCGATAAGTTGGTTGTTCAGGGTATTGGCGGTTGATTCGGATTCATGAAGTCTACCCTGAACACCAGAAAGCTCGTCCTGGAGTTTGTAATTCCGGTCGTAGTAGTCTTTCAGCTCCCCATTTACCTGCGCCAGCTCGGATGTTAAATTGTCGACCTTGTCCTCCAGATCGTGCTTGGAGCCAGCCGAAGAATTGAGTTCAGCCTCAAGAGCTGAGAATCTCTTCTTCCACATGTCAATCTCCTTCTCCCGTCCAAGGACCAACCCTTCGTAATGTTCGACCATATCGTTAAGTTCGCTATGAGCCTGGCATTATAAACCCGGGATGGCGAGTCAGTTTGAAGAATGGCAATACAAAAAAAAAAACAACAAAAACAACAAAAAAAAAAAACGGAATTAACCCGAGATGAATGATAAGCGTGAAGCAAATAGCGTTCACGAATCGCAGGGCGCCATTTGTTGAAGTCTGGCAAGATCGAACCCGATCAGGTCTTGAAGCATCGGAAGACATTGCCTTCTTTCTCCATAGCTGCGAAGAAGGAAGAGTTGTAAAAATTGGAATTTTAATAGAGACAAAAAGTTTAAGTATGTATAAGTCACCAAACCTGAAAGCGATTTGACTTGAGGGACAAGAGCAGGCTTCAACCTCGAGGAAGCATCTCGAGATTCAGAATCTCCCCTTTTAGGGGATGCACTCCGAGCAGTCTTTTCGCTGAAAGGCTGGGAAGAAGAAGACATGTCAACAGGTCGGGAAGGACCCATTGGTTCAGTAGGAGGGGATGATCGAGGTGAACGGTCAGTCCGGGCCCTTGATTTCTCCCTTCGCGGAGACGAGTCATCACGGGACGACTTGTCCCTCTTCTTACGAACCAAATTCTTAAGTGGTTCGTTGCTGAAATCGTCTCGGGGAGGACGAGGAGAATCACGACGAGGAGACCGCTCTCTCCGAGGAGAACGTTCGTCGCGGCGTTCGTGACGAGGTGTTAACCTGTAAGCAGCAACGGATCTGGCTCCCTCGGAGCTGTTGTCATCAACCAGCAGGGTCCTGCTGTAATCTTTCTTGTCGATGGCGGCCGCAAGGAATGCCTTGTTTTCATCACAAGCCTCTGCTATCGGCTTGGAGAGTTTCTTACGCTGGGCAGCGAGGGCCCGAGCTGACATTCCCTGAGTTGAGGGAGGAGGCGGAAGACGATGAAGTAGATTGGGAGGACTCATCCTGAGTTTCCGGTTGGCCTCGACAAACCGGTCGAGGGTGAAAGAATTCCAAAGGGTTTCCCCTTCAAGGATTGTTTTGAAGAACTTGATAAACTCTTCAGTCGGGAGAGTTGAAGCGATGAGAGCTGCGAAATGAAATAACGAATTTGGTCAGTAAAGAAATAATAATGAACGATAAAGGAATATACGACCTAGTCTCTACCAGGTTTCGCAGACCACTTCGATGGGAGTATATCGGAAAGATTCCCAATCGAAGCAGGAGTTTTCTTAATCAGAAACCAAGGATGGTGCCAGTTCTCATCCTTGTTCGGGAGGTGCGAGATGACGTTTCTATTGGCATTTGGGTACGCCGAGAAGTACCCAGTTTTCTTTGACGAACTCCTTACGCTTAGAAGTTCATTCAGCTCGGGGACTCCAATGACGTAGCCAGCCTCCGCCGCAACGGTTATAATCCCGAGGATGGTTCGGAGGAGATTAGGGGTTAATTGAGGTAAGGCTATCTCGAGAGCCGCCAAGAATCGAACTAGGGCTTCGGGAAGGGGGAAGGTCAATCCGCAGCCCTTGAAGTAAATTTCGTAAACACAAAAGTAGCCGACACGGTGGTTCTCCGGAGATTCCGTAGGGTCGGCTATTTGCGCCTCCGCTATGATTTCAGGAGGAATTTGACAGAGCCCCTTTAATCGCTCAAGGGACTGAAGAGTGCAGGTGGATTTGTAATGAGGACCGGCAATATCGTTAGGACGAGTGCATTCATCATTACTAGAGCGCCTCTCGTCGTAAGAAGGAGATTCAGGTCTCTCGGAATTGGAGGTCATCGGAGAAAAATGAAAAATTCAAGATCCGGCGAAGAGAGGTTTTGTGAAGAAAAGTAGAGAAAGGTTTTGATTAAAACGCAAAAGTAAAAGAAGAGAGTAATGGTGAAAAGAAGTTACCTCAAGCTAATGATGAAACTGCCTCGGAAGTTGTGTGGGAAGTGGGAAGGTTTTTTCCCGTTTTAATAGTAATTAATCAATACACGGTCATAATGATGACAGATGTCACTCAGTTAAAAAAGGCTAGTGCCGAAATTAAAGGAGTGATGACCACTTCGATGGGAGTATATCAGAAAGATTCTCGAGCGCAATCTTTGGCCACTTGAGCATTTAAAGTCCTCCGAATTGGAATAGCACTTCGAAGAACTTGGGGGGCTAATTGTTGGTGTCGGATCCCGCACCATAAGTCCGAGACCAACCAAAGATTGCCACATAGTCAAGATAATGGTCCATAGAGGATAAAGCCCATTGGACCCATGAGCCGAAGGAACGGTCGAAGTGTTTGTCACCACTTCGAGAATCCGAAGTGACTGCACTGTGACATGAGTTCGGTGTAGAAAACACGGGTAAGTCGGTTCAAGGACAATTGGGCCAAAAAGGCGAGGCCCATGAAGATCAGAGTCAACTCAAATTCAAACGTTGAGCATTAAAGTCGAAGAATCAAAACGGACACATTTAAGAGGGAATAATTGTACTTAATTATTCATTTTAATGTTGATTCTCTATGTATAAATATAAAGGCCAATGGCCATGTAAAGGGATCTTCCTCTAAAAAAAGAAATACTATAGCAATTTTCGTAGCAATTTAGAAGTTTTTACCTATTCATTTTTGTCCCTCAAGAATAATCTTTCCTACTTAATAAAATACTTGAGTGTGTGAATCCGACATCCACATATATGAAAGGAGGCTATCTCTCTCCATCCTTCCGTCACGTCAGCATTTTAGGCTATTCTAGAGCTGACACATCAGCTTTCTATTCTTCCAATCAAAATATTTCATTAATAAGATTCAGCTTTTATTTTTTACACATCATCATCTTTTAATTAGAATTGTCAAATGGGGAAAACATAATAGGCCATGACGGATGGGCCATATGGATTTGAAAATCTATTTCACAAGTTAATAATATATTTATTAGTTAATTATATATATTATTTAATTTTACATATTTATTTCTACTAATACCAACTTATTTGGTTATTTTATGTTTTTTTTTCAATAAAATTATTTTATTGGTTTTATATACTCCAAAGTTTTTTTCGCTAATTTTTGTAATCTTAACTCAAAATATGAGTGGATAATAGTATAGTGGATTAGCTAATGGTTTGAGTAAGTTTTTCTCTTAAATTTTTGATCTATATATGACACTGAGGGTGAAGAATACGTAAGGTCATCAAATTTTTGAGGTTCTATAATCCCAACATTACCATCTATAAAATTGGTTTAGGACAAAGATTGTTTACGGATTGTGTGAGTGATGCATTATTGAGTATGTTGGTGGAAAATGTATTTTAATATTAAGAGTAGTTGTTCATTGCATGAGTAAATGATTAGATAATTAAAAATTATATTTATCAAAATATAACATCAAGTAAATCAAAATTAAAAAAAAAAAACTGAAAAAACCTGCTGTGTAAAGCGGGTGATCAACTAGCAACAAGAACAATCAAAATAATTTGTTATTAACAAATTTTAAAATAGACCCACGCGTAACGTGGGTATTCATCTAGTATCATATAAATGAAGAGAGTGGTTTTACAATAGAGTATTACCAACATATTGGTTTCTTGGCAAAAAAGATAAAAACAAGAAAGCAAATTTTTGACTTAAGAGAAGATACAATCATCGCAGCCACAGTTGCATAAGAGGTCTGAACCGCTTACTTCGCCGACGGGCAGTGATGGAATTCTTGACCTCATTGCTTGATGGTATCGACTTTTTAGTGTTAATGGCGCTTATAGCGTGTTGTTGGTTGTTAGCAGTAAGACATGTTTGGATGTGTCTTTGGTGTTTTTGTGAAAGATGCAAAGACCAGAGAGTTTCTTATGTTTTCTTTGGAAGATAATGCTAATTTTGAAACATTAATTGTCTCCATGGAATTATGACTTCATTAACTTCACTATTATCGGATTGGGATTTTGAGATTACACGTGAAGGTGTTCAAATATTGGCGTGAGAGTTTTAACAAGCCATGAGTCCATGACGAAAAACGAGGAAAGCCTAATGATGGTTGATATATGATCGTTTGATTGTGGTAGTAACAAACAAAAGTATGTATTAATGTATGGTCGAACCAGGAGAATACGAAAGTCAAAATATTTCAGAAATGACATTGATACGGAATCTTAAGTATCATGTCAAAATTTCAGAATCATTTTGGGAAGCATTGAGTTTTATCATGCGGTGTGTATTATGGAGGTTCAGCAAAGAGATGCTACTCATGCACACATTTCACAGGACATATATTAACATATGTACTAATTTGTTTTCGAATGTTCTGTATACTAAACTTGTAATTTAGATTTCAATTCGATATCAATGAAATTATTTGCAGAAAAAAAAAAACAAACAACAGTGATTAAAAATATAATATGATTTCGATTGAAACTTATTTTTTATTTCTCGAATACACCTATCTTCTAAAGTAAATAAAAAACTTCAAACCAAACTGATTAACCTAATGCCTTTCCTTTCCCTTTTCCTTTCCCTTTCTTCTTCTTCTTCGAACCATTGTGTTTTTCGTCACCATCAAGTAGTTTACAATTAGAATCCTCCAGCTCCTTGGTTTTGCTTGTCTCGAACTTTCTGTTCTCAACAAAGCTAACTACTCCACGAAGAACAACATCCGTGTCATCGTCTTGCATTAGCTCTTCAGCTAACTCAGCCGGAGTCACCTCTGTGGAATCAATCAGCGCCTCAATTTCTTCACATAGAGGATGGTTTAAGCCATCTAAACCGAGATAGTTAGAGACCAATGTCCTAAACCCTAGACCAGTAGAATAAGACATGTTGATATGCACATCCATTCTTCCAGGACGTAACAGAGCAGGGTCAAGCCGTTCTTTGTGATTCGTCGTGAACACGATGATTCTCTCATCCCCAAAACTTGACCATAACCCATCAATGAAATTCAAAAGCCCTGATAGAGTCACCTGCAGCTCAAAGACAATATCATAGTCAAAACTAAGAACCAATATATTCTCTCAAAACTATAAAACCAAATCACAAATTCAAAACATGTCACCTTTCCATAATAACCCTCTTCGTATTCTTGATACTCAGCTTCCCTATCTACCACCTCGGCACTACTACAATCAATATCCTCAATAACCAAAATCGAACGATTCGTGGTTGATAACAAGATTCTCTTTAGCTGAGCATTTCCATAAATACTACTAAGATCAAGATCAAACACATCAAACTTTAAGTAATTAGCCATCGCAGCAATCAAGCTAGATTTACCGGTCCCTGGTGGACCATACAACAAGTAACCTCGTTTCCAAGCTTTACCAACTCTTTTGTAAAACTCTCTTCTCTTCAAAAACCTCTCCAAATCATCGATAATCTTCTTCTTCGCACCCGGATCCATCGCCAATGTTTCGAATGTTGATGGATGCTCGAGATTGATACACCCCCAACAACCACCAGCCATTCCATCATCATCTTTGCTCGCACTCACATCTTTGCTATAAAGCTTCACCGCTCTCAGATTCCTCTTAATCTCCTCGGATTCGGCTACAACGTGGCTTAAATAGGAGTTCATGACTTTATCTCTAAGCTTCTTCTCGAACGTGAGCTCGTAGGAACGTTTCTCTTCTCCGCTTGTCTCATTCTCTGATACAATGTAACTCCATCTCAGTTCGCAATTCTCGAAAGTATCCAAGATCTCTTCGCCTTTCACGATCGATATTGTGAAGTGCTTATGCTTTGGGAGTTTACCTATGAAAGTGCAAGAGCTATTAAGTACTTGAGAACTAGCTCACGATTTAAGACAGAAACTGAGTCAGGAACTGAGTCACAAGCTGAGACAAGGATTTCTTCTTAAAACTCTTTTGATTAATAGAAAATACGTTTACAAGGTCTTCCTTAAACTATTTTCTATTCTCTCAATCTCTCGTTCTTAGATCACAACCCGATCAAGAACTCTCTCAAGACAAATCCCTTAGCCCCTTTAAGCATTATGCTTTCTCACAAGAAACCACATAACCTTAATGTCTAAGAATTCTCTTTCTCTCTTGTGCTCAGCTTTTCTAAAGCCTAAGCACCCTATTTATACTAAATAGGTCGTGGCTATACAACAAGCCGATTTCCTATTCTAACACTAATAGGAATAGACAATTTCCTTTTTCTTTAAGGATTAGGAAATTGTCCTTTCTCTTCATGTTTCCTTTTTCATGTTTCTATGAAAAGGAAACTCTTCAGTCTTCTAGAATCTTCTCCAAGCTTCTAGTATCCACAGCCAACCGCCATAGACCGACTTTACCAATTTCCATATGCTCGCTTCACGTTGCTCTGTTCCCCTGAACTACTTCTTGAAGTACTCTGAACTAGTACAACGACTGCTTCAACAGCTTCATCTTTATTATTTGCCTTCTATAAATGCCGCTTTCTGTTTCTCTTCATCTTGACATAAAACTTATTAAGAATACATCAACAATCTCTCTCTTTCTTAGTGAGTTTTATAATCCAAGCTTCACACATCATTAACTTCAATTATTACTTTGATGATCTCCAAACTCTCTCTCGACCTTGAAACAAAGATCTCAGCAGCTTCTAAAACTCGGTCTTCACAACACCAACAATCTCCCCCTTGATGACTGAGTTTTAGAAACAAAGCACAGTTTCTTCAAGTTGCACTCTAGCTTCGTGCCATTATTAAGCATCCTCAAATTCTTGTAAGTTTCTTCAAGTTTCACTCTAGCTTGTGATGCTTCTTCCTCCTTCTCTATTGCATATTTTTGTGTTTCAGCCACCTTTGCCTCTATCTTGAGTTTTTCCCTTGTTAACACTGAATTCTCCTCAACTAGGTTAAGCCATTGTTCATATAACATCTTGTACTTGACACTCTCTACCTCGTTGCAGCCTTCTGATGCAAGTTCTGCTGCAGGTTTTAATGCAGGTTCTGCTGCAGGTTTTAATGCAGGTTCTGCTGCAGGTTCTGTTGCAAGTTCTGCTGCAGGTTCTGTTGCAGGTTTTAAAGCAGGTTCTGTAGCAGTTGCAGTCATATTGCGAGAATATCCACTTCCTGATGTACTTCTTGATTTTCCTGACTTACTTCCTATCCTTCCTGACGTATGTTCTGATGTAATCTGATACAGATCAGATTTCTTCACCCATATTTGACTTCGGAATCCATTCCAGGAAAATTTCCCTTGATGTTTGAGTCTACTTATTTTGTCTCTGAATTTGTAGCAATATGCTTTAATGTGCCCATTCTTTCCACAAAAATAACATCCAATTCCTTTGGATGCATTACTTTCATATTTGTTTGGATTTGGTGGAGAGACACTTTCAGCTACAAACTTGATTTGCCCTGTTTGAGATCCTTTTTGTCCAATATATCCCAAACCTCTGTTAGATTTTCCTACTCTTGTAGAAACAGTCAGCTTGTCCTTCATACTTTCTTGACAGATTTTTGTTTTATCCCTCAGTTCATTCTGCAGTAACTCAACAAGTTCGTCAAGACGACGCTTTTCTTTTACTAAGGCTTGATTTTCTTGTCCAATCTTAATCAGTGTCTCACGTACCTCCTTATAACATTCAGCAAAGTCAACTTCATGTTCTTCTTCAGACTCAGACCCTAACACTTCTTCACCACCTTCAAATTCAGCTTTTCCCAAAAGTGTAACAAAATGATTTACTTCTTCTTCAACATCACTTTCTTCCTCTGAATCTTCTTCTATTCTCTGTATTGATTTTTCTTTTCTTATTTTCTGATTACTAACACATTCATGCTGAGTATGTCCAATACCTTTGCACCCAAAGCACTTTACATCCTTTTTCTTGAATGTAGGACATTCATATTTGAAGTGTCCATACCCTAAGCACTCATGACATTGCATATTTGCCTTCTTAATAGTTTTACCTTCTTCTGGATATTTTTTGCTTGAGCTGAACCTCCTCTGTCCTTGTTCTTCTTCTACCTTCCTTAATAGTTGATCAAGTCTTTGAAACAACACTTTTAGGATCATCTTCTTCTACCTCTTGAGTTTTCCTTTCAAGAGAAGTTAATGCCAAATCCTTTGGATTTTTCACTTTCTTCACACCATCTAGTTCCATCTCATGAGCTTGAAGCATTCCGACCACATCTCCAAAGCTAAGGTCTTCCGTGTTATGTGACACACTTAAGGCAGTTTTGTATGCCATGAATCTTGAAGGTAAACATCGTAGAAACTTCTTCACTAGTTTCTTATCTTTGTACTTCTTTCAAAGTGTCAATGCTTCTTGAGCTAGAGAACTTATCTTTGAACTAAAATCAGAAATTGAATCACGTTCTTCCATCTTCAGATTTTCGAATCTTGAGGCTAACATGTCTTTCCTTGAGTTCTTCACCTTTGTGGTTCCTTCAAAGTGATTTTGCAAGATATCCCAAGCTTCTTTTGCTGTTTCACATCCCTGAATTAGTTCGAACTGGTTTCTTCCAACATTAATGTGAATAGCGGTGAGTGCCTTTGCGTTGTACTTTGATTTTTTCAATTTATCATTAGTCTAGTCCTTCTCCGGTTTAGCAACCTCGGCTCCTGATTCATCCTTGATTTTTGGTTCTTCCCACTTTTCCAATATGGCTTTCCAAGCATAGACATCAATGCCTCTTATAACCGCCTTCATCCTTGATTTCCAAAAACCATAGTTTCCATCATTCAATATTACTCTTGACCCGATGTCAAGTCCATGATAGCTCTCCATCTTCTCTACAAGATCTCACCTGTATGCAATCCTCACAAGTGACCGCTTTGATACCAATTGAAAGTGCAAGAGCTATTAAGTACTTGAGAACTAGCTCACGATTTAAGACAGAAACTGAGTCAGGAACTGAGTCACAAGCTGAGACAAGGATTTCTTCTTAAAACTCTTTTGATTAATAGAAAATACGTTTACAAGGTCTTCCTTAAACTATTTTCTATTCTCTCAATCTCTCGTTCATGGATCACAACCCGATCAAGAACTCTCTCAAGACAAATCTCTTAGCCCCCTTAAGCATTATGCTTTCTCACAAGAAACCACATAACCTTAATGTCTAAGAATTCTCTTTCTCTCTTGTGCTCAGCTTTTCTAAAGCCTAAGCACCCTATTTATACTAAATAGGTCGTGGCTATACAACAAGCCGATTTCCTATTCTAACACTAATAGGAATAGACAATTTCCTTTTTCTTTAAGGATTAGGAAATTGTCATTTCTCTTCATGTTTCCTTTTCCTCCTATGAAAAGGAAACTCTTCAGTCTTCTAGAATCTTCTCCAAGCTTCTAGTATCCACAGCCAACCGCCATAGACCGACTTTACCAATTTCCATATGCTCGCTTCACGTTGCTCTGTTCCCCTGAATTACTTCTTGAAGTACTCTGAACTAGTACAACGACTGCTTCAACAGCTTCATCTTTATTATTTGCCTTCTATAAATGCCGCTTTCTGTTTCTCTTCATCTTGATATAAAACTTATTAAGAATACATCAACAACCTACTCGAAAACGTGCTGTCTCTGGTCCGATTTTGTTCCGGAGGTACATCTCCGCCGCGTCAAAAACTTGGTTCCTCTTATATCCGATCATCTCGTCGATAACCATAGTCAAATTCTTTGATTTCGGAGTCAAGAACCGGTTGAGTAAGTCGGTGATGTATGATCGGAGCCTCTCTGGTACGATATCATTGAACAACGATCTAAAGAGCATCAAGAATCCGGTTAAGGATGCGTACGCTGAGAACAGCGACGATGGTGAGAAAGAGAAATTGGATGAAGGAAACATCTCTGTTAACCGAAATCCACAAAGATCTTGCGGATTTCTTATGACCTAGCTAGGGTTTTAGAAGTGTTGGGATGAGTTAAAACTGTGAGAGTTTTATAATTTTATATAGAGAACCACATGAAAATACTATTCATTAAATTTATTTTTTATTTTCCTTTAATTTATTACTTCCTCCTTTGATTTTTAAAAAGTAGACCAATTGGAAAATAACAAAAGTATTTTCGAGGGAAGCAAAAACAGTAAGAGACTTGCGGAGGAAGGAAGCTTGCGTCGCAAGGAAACGTCAATTAGTAAAGCGGTGGTGTCATTAGGGTGTCTTGTTCGTTCAAGCCCAAAACAAAACCCAAGAATCCAAACGTTTATAATCTCTAAATATAAAATACTGAAATTTATCTAATTTGATACAAATGTAAGCAAAACTAATTAGATTAACGGGGAAAATGTCGAAAAATACGCGAACTTTCAAATTTGGGACAAAAAAAATATGAACTTTCGAAATGTCATTTAAATCATAAAGTTTAGTTTGATTTTTGATAAAATGTTTAAGTTTTTGTTGACTTAGCTATTTCGGACATGTCGTTAAATTTCCGTTAACGAAATGTTGACGGAGTTAACTTTCCGTTAGAAATCTCCGTTGAATCAAAACGATATCGTTTTTAAAAAAAAACAAAACGATGTCGTTTCACTAGAAACTAAAACGAATCAACTGTTGAAACGACATCGTTTTGTTGTTTTTAAAACGACTTCGTTTCGATTCAACGAAGATTTCTAACGGAAAGTTAACCCCGTCATCGTCTTGTTAACGAAAATTTAACGACATGCCTAAAATGGCCAGGTCAGCGAAAACTTAACCATTTAATCACAAGTCAAACTAAACTTTATAATTTAAATGACATTTTGAAAGTTCATGCTTTATTTGTCCCAAATTTGAAAGTTCGCGCATTTTCTGACATTTTCCCCTTAGATTAACACCCAAACATATTAGAAAACTAAAATAACTTAAAATTTAAGTAGAAATATAAAAAAAATGAATAAGGAAAAAAAAAATCAATCGAACGTCATTCTTCATATTTTACAATGCTTTAGTGTACTAGGTTATAACCCCCGCATTTTATTAATTGTTTTAATATATTTTTAGGCTTAGTAATCAATTAATTACAATATGTTTCATTTTTTAAAATTATTTTAGCATAAATATTGTTTTATTTATATTTTTAATATCATTTATTTTGGTTAAAAATTTGTTTTAATATAAAAAAGCTTATATTAATGTTTGGTATAAAACATATTACAAATTTTACTCAAGTATATAAAAATTTATTGGAATCTAAAATTGCTAATTACCGAGATGGCTAATCGTGATTTGTCTTTAAATTTTTTTGTGGTCGGTTTCAGAATCTTATAGCTTTGACTTTTATGTAGTATAGAAGCTAGTGGTTTCGACTTAAGCTATGAAATTTTCATAGCTTTTAGAGCATCAAATTTATAAAATCATGGTTTCCAATAACTCCAAATTTATGAAGACTTTAGATTACTATTTATAAAATACATAAACAAATAACATCAAACTTTGATAGATTTTTGAAAAATCTTAAATTGAATAACAATAGAATCTTCATAATATTTTAAATCTACTCCTTCATATTGTCCTCTTATTGAAGATAAAAGATACTCGAAAATAATATCGACAATTACAAAAAAGAAAAAACAGTCACCTGCCATCTTTAATATAATTGTCATCGCAATCCGTTAGATTTAACAAACAAACACGCCAAACTTTGGTTTCTGAAGGAGCTTTGCATCGTCAAATTAATCAAACAATTATAATATATAGAACCCTATATATAATTTTTTTTTCTTTTTTTTTAGGAATTACCTTTTTGCTTCTTTTGTTATTCTTCTTCAATACATAACTCTTTTCACTTTTGTTTTTTGATTTCTTTGTTTTCCACATGCGAACTACTTTTCATGCATATATTTAACATAAAGTAATTAACAATATCCACACAAGGAAACAATTTGAAAGCTAACAAAATTTTAGGATCAATAATACCTTGTAATTGCTATAAAAGTCATAATTGAATGAACATAGACTCGATTAATTAATGTAACCTATAAATACAAATTAAACAGTGTAAAATCAGAAATTTTAAACAATATTTTTTATAGTTCATTGAGAAATAAATATTAAAATATGTAGCACGAGAAAAAAAAAATCAAAACCGCATAATAGTGAATTCTTTTGAAATTGAAATCTAACTGTGTGGTCGAGGTTCAGTATTTATTGTTTAATGTTTAGAGCAAACCATCATAATTATTTTTTGTGATTTTACATTTTTTAATTAGAAATTTTCCACAAAAATATATATGCGCCGCATAATATTATTGAAATCTATACTTTACATTTTTCCTATTTCTATATTTTGTTATTTCAAAAATTCATATGTTTCTTCTTTCCATATATTATTTTTGGTTTCCTTTTTATTAATATTTAAATATAGAAAATATTAGAATTTAAAAATGTTAACTAATATGATGGCTAAAAATGTTAATTAGTGAGATGTCTATTCGCGATTGATGGTTTAAAATCCCACGTGGACTGCTTAAGGAGCTTATAGCCTCGACTTTTATATAGTACTAGGTTATTAACCCCCGCTATGCGGGGGTTTGTTGATTTAATATATTTTTGGTTTTAGTATTCATTTAAGTAGTTATACATTGACAATAGTAATACAAAAATATTATAATATTTCTTATTTATTATTTATTATTTATTATTTTTAACATAGATGTACATTATTTATATTTTTAGTATCATTTACATTATTTAAAATTTTGTCTTAATAAGAAAAAAAAGTTTATAGGATAAAATTTAGTATAAAATATATTACTTATATGATGTGTCATTATCTCTTACTTGTTTTATACTATTAATGATTTTGCTATTAGTAAAAGAATTATAAAAATATTTGACAATGACCACATTCATCCTAAAAAGACCATCAGAGCATCTCTTGTACAAAAATGGTTCATCACAAAAATGGTTCATCCCAAAACAGTAAGATCTAGTATATTTTGCTACATATGAACTAAATGTTGGCATAAAGAGCTCATGTCATAACTGTTTTCTCACTTTTACATGTATACTCGATTTAAGATCCACATGTTTAGAAACTTTTCAAACCAAAATCCTTAATGCTACAAAATTGACTAAGATAAAAAAACAAATCTACTTATATATAACGAAAATGTTAATCAAAAGTATTCATAAAAGGAAGGGTCATGAGCTTTTCACATTTTCCTAAAGATGTTGTGTCAGAACTGTTTTTTCCTCCGATCTGTAGTTCACCATATACAACTCTATCTTTGGTGTGGATCATATGAGCCTTTTACGTTCTTCTTCTTCATTCACATTTTTTTTTCTTAAATGCCTTCCTATCATTCTGCGGTCTCTCTTTTTCTTTACTTCCACGTATCCTTCTTCTTCGCTTTCTCTCTCTCTTTTTCTTCTTCCTTTCACTTCCCTTCTCATTGAGGTTTTTCTTCTTCTTTCCTTTTATCCTTTGATTAGGTGGAAACGTCGACAGAGATGATCAAAATGACGATGGCTTGGGTACACGATGGATATGACACGTTGACATTGGATTCACTTCTCTCTTGAAGCTTTCATGGCTATGGGTTTTCATCACGTATGCAACACATTGTAACGCCCCAACCGTCCCTACCAGTGGGCTCTACGTCGTCTCTCGGGCCCATGGGCCCACCCCTGTCCGACGGCCGGTCCACTACATCCAGGAGGCTTTAAAGACTTGTTTACCGACCTTACAAATCACCACATGATCTTTTTCTGTGTTTTGTCCTCACTCACATAGTTCCGACAATCACTTTCTGGAAGGTCATCCATCCTGAAACTACTCCAGCCCAAGCACGCTTAACTATAGAATTCTCTCAGGACGGTTGGCAGAAAAGACAAGTGCACTTTGATGACATAGGTGGCCAAATCAATTATTTTAAACCTCTCTGCATGCACCACCATATTCCTGAAACCTGGGTGTTACTATTCACCCCCACTAACAGATCGCAACGTCCTCGTTGCGCACTAAGACCGTCACCCCCTACGGTGTGAGCCCTCTTGACTCCACACTCGTCTGGGTTCGGCTCTGATACCACTTGTAACGCCCTGACCGTACCTACCAGTTGGCTCCACGTCCTCTTTCGAGCCCATGGGCCCACCCCTGTCCGACGCCGGTCCGCTACGTCCGGTAGACTTTAAAGACTTGTTTACCGATCCTGCAAATCACCACATGATCTTTCTTTGTGTTTTGTCCTCACTCACACAATTCCGACAATCACTTCCCGGAAGGTCACCCATCTTGAAACTACTCCAGCCTAAGCACGCTTAACTGTGGATTTCTCTTAGGACGGTTGGCCGAAAAGATAAATGCACTTTGGTGACATAGGTTGCCAAATATCGATTTTTTCTTTTGAGTTTTTGGCGGATATCGATTTTTCCTTCTTTTTTTTTTGTTTTTGTTAAATTACCTTGAGAATTTTTGTTAAACATCGACGTGGACCAATAACATCGCGTTTTTAAAATTCCATGTGGACAGCCTCAAAAGTTTTTAAAATCTAGTTCGTCCCATAAAACGCTTTTGGATTTTTCTTTTCATATATGGGGTTTGATCGTACTTATTCTTCCTTGTTTTTCTAAGATTTTCTTTAGGACTTATTCTTTTCTGTTTTTAATGATTTTCTTTAGGACTTATTTTTTTCTGTTTTTAATATTCATCTATGTACAATATACTATATAAGATTAAATAGAGATTCAAAACTATTATGCGACCAATTGCTTTTATTTTAAAAGAACATATTTCTTTTTTTTCTTTAATATTAAATAATTTTTTAGTTTACTATCTGAAAAATATGAATGTCTGAAAAATAAAATAACTTTTTTCATGATTCAATATTAAAAAATTAAGGAATAATTTCCTTATATAATAAATTCATTATTTTGAGTAATTTTTATTATTTTGTTGCACATTTCAAAGTTTTTGGCAGATATTGACTTTTTCTTTTACTTTTATTTTTGTTAAGTTACCTTGAGCGCATATATC